CAAAGATCTTCCTATCAGCCACAATCTATATAGTAGAGGCACCTTTATGGACTTCCTATTTGCACATATGAAAGAAGAGAAAAGCTGACCAAAATAGTCCCATATTCTAGTTAGCATGTAAAAACACCAATGCAAGTTACTGATTGCTATTTTCCCTAGTGTGAAACAAAACTGTTTTTCTAGTTGTCTTTGTTTGACTTTCTGGAAGGAACAGTCTGACTATGAGAGATTCTCAAATGAACTCCCAAAAAGTTGGAGAAGAGTTTAAGGGGAGTTTTTAACTCACTAGCAGAGAGAAAGTCCAAATAAAACTCAAGCTTGTTAAACACCCCCCCAAAATCACCTTATAGCACTTTATAAGTCCACAGTCAACTTTCCAAAGTCCATAACCCATCAGAAAAGGTGTTTTTCTCCTCTACACACATAAATGGTAGAGTCCATGCCCAGGGGTGTGGGGAGAAGGTTTGGGTAGTTTTTAATCTTTGGAAGATTTTTTTATATTTGTCTATAGGTCTGTCTTACTAGGAATAGAGAAAGCAGTCCAAACCTATAGCTCAACTCTTAATGGAGGCTTAAGAAAGGGCTCTGATGGCATCTTTTCAGATCGTTCTGAGACAGAGGATATCTGATGATAACTGACAGAGTTCCCCTCTCACCTCAGAGAGGAGTCCAGATAGGAGAAGATGTGTGGAGATTTTCTGCTGATTACCTGGCTGGGCTTTTGGGAGCTAGTTTCTTCTGAGGAACCTTTGGGTATCTGCCAGAGAGGAGCCCTGGCCATGACCCCTCAGTTGTCACCTCAGTTTCTGCTAGTTTCACACAATCAGAGATCTGTCTCCAAAAGGAACCCAGTTGCCTATCTGGTCAACGTTCCACCCGCTATTGGCATCAATGGGAGTGGGGATTCACCAGAGGGCAACTGGAGGAACCTGTCCTCCGCTTGGAGAGTGGCAGCTGCCCTAAAGGCAATCACTAGCTGGCAGAGTAACCACCATTTGTTTACAATTCTATAAGGGACAGATAAAAGCCTGAACTGTCTTTATCTGAGATAATTTCCTAAGACACCCATTTTACAGCATTTTGAAGCAACCAAGTGCAAATGCAACACATACAAAACAAGAATAAAACATAATTTTAACAAAACACAATGCCTAAGGAAAAAAAAAACAACCAAGAAATGTGCAAACATTTAAAACATACAACTTAAAATTAAGACACCTTTAAAACAAAAGCTGAAACAAAGGCCAGAAGAATTTATTTGAAATAAAAACCAGAATCTATGAAACAAATGAGAACCTATGAAACAAGTTACAATCTATGAAGCAAAAAGACCAAAGTAAGAACCTATATTAGAAAACTCCTACGTCTGACCAGTAATCTTGGTGGAAAACTTCCATAATGATATAGGGGGAAGAGATGTAACTTCCAAACCCTCTAGACATTCGAAATGCGAGTTTGTGTTCTCTAAAATCGAAGAATGAATTCCAGGAACAACGGAGGTTAAGGTTAGGAAAAATTTATTGAGGGAAAGAAAGCCTCTATCTAAGTGAGCTAGAAGGGAGATGGGAAAGTGGGTTGTCCCTGCTAGTTTTTTGGTAGCAAAAAACCCCCTGAAATTTAATTAATTTCTATCATCCTGGAAAACAATATATTAACTAAATCTGTTGTTGTAGTTAATTTCAGAAGCAACCTTTTTTTGGAAACAGTGTCTCCCTGTGTTTATGCTGTTGAACTCACCATGTAGCCCAGGGTGGCCTGGAACTCAAAGTGATCCTCCTGGCTCAGCATTTGACGTGTGGGATTACGGGCATGTACCATGCCTGGCAGAAGTAACTGTTTTTGAATAAATATTAGACTCACTAGGTCAGGGATGAAACTAATTTGAGGAAAAGTAAGATACTGCTGAAATTATAGGAATATAATGCTAGTGCTTCCATTCTTTTTTATTGTCATTTCGTTTTTCTTTTTGCTGGGCTGGGGAGTGAACTTAATATAGATAGGGTATTGAGGGGCACAGGAATTCACATCCCTCTTCCCACTTGATCTTTGAAGATAATCTTAGGAGCATTCCACATAACCACAGACCACAGCATGTGCAAGCCCTTTGTTTTCCTCTGTCACACTTAAACCCAAGAGCCAGATTTGCCCGCATGGTGAGCATTTTTCCTATTCTGTCACCCACTTCCACGTTCATGACCTTCAACAGCCTTACTACTGGCTATGTAGTAGCCACTGCTGGCCTTATTGCTCCACCCCCAGCCTTGCAGGTCCACACCCCCCCCCCCTTTACCCCATTTAGTTAGTGCAGTGCCACCTTTCCAGTGGTTTAACTGAAAACTTTTGAGTCATCATTGCCTATCTCTTACACTTTGCATCTGTTTTTCCGCTAGTCTTGTCAAAGGGAGAGCACCAGAACATAAACACTTCTTACCACCTCCTTTGATCCCAGCCTGGAGTGAGCCACCATTGTCTCTTGCTGGGATTTTTTTCAATAGCTTTCTAATTTACCTTCCTGCTTTTCTCACACAGGGATATCTGTCCTGATAAAAGAACTGTCAGATCATATCACTTAATTTGTGCAAAATTTTCCCAGGGCTGTTGAGAGTGCCTGTGCACACAATGACCTATACAATTACATCTCCTGCCGCTCCTTGGCTTACTCAGCCCCAGGCATGCTAACAGCCTTGCTGTGCTCACCACACACCAGGAAAGACCCCAGGGCCTTTGAGCTTCCTCACATATCCGTGGGGCTCCATCTCTTATCTCTTTTAGGTCTCTGTTCAACTTTCACCTTATCAGTAAAGCAAAGGGAACACCCTTTGCTACGTGCTGGATCCCACACCTCTTATTCCTTACCCCTTTCTTTGCTTTATTTTGTTCTGCAAAGCATGTAGCACCTTATAATATCCCATTAATTTACTCACCTTTCTTATTTTCAGCTATTTTAAGCTCATTAGTCTATAAGGCTCATGAGGAAAGAGACATTGGGTGTCCTGCTACAGTCAGTGAACTACAACTACTATATAATAGATGTTCAATAAATATTTGTCACATGAATGAAAGAATAATTATGCTTAGGAAGAGTAACAATAAGTGGAAGCCTTTATTATGAGTGTATATTATTAGTGTTGTTTTCTCCCCAGACTTAGCCTTACTTATTTGGGTCTTGGGAATAGGTGAGTACCTGTGTTCACCCTCTGAACTGTCATTCCTTATGCACTTGACCACAGGCAGGAAGCATCCACTCCCTCCTCTGGCTTTCCCTCTTCTTTACTCTCACCCAAGCACACTGAGCACATCTTTGCTCTTTACTTCCTGTTTCCTATCCATCCAGCACCCACTCAGGGTTCAGCAGAGTCCCTACAAGCAAATGGCATGTCAAATTTGGACACAAATTCTCTCAGCTTCATCGCGGGCAACTGAAATGCAAGCACAACTTGATTGTAGGTGATGTTGAATCTTTTTGTCTTGAGTAGTGGAAAATTTCAACAATTATTTATTGACCTCCTGTTATGGACCAGGCACAATATTTGAAACTAGAGTGATGTCAATAATCCTAACATATGAATGGTTTTCCTGCAGTCGGTATATGCATTAGTCAGTTTTCTGATGCTGGAACAACTTAAAGGAGAAAAGGCTTATTTTGGCTCACAGTTTTAGAGGAATTAGTCCATGGTCTGCTGGAGGTAAGACAGAAGCAGCTAAGGAAAGCTGCCTACCTCAGGGCAGCCAGTAAGCAGAGTAAGAGGGAAAAGAACTAGAGAAAAGGCCAAGGGCCCTTGAGCACTTCTCTTGGTTAAAAAACTCAGGTTTTTCCTTTAATGGAGTTAAAGTTTATTTACAGAGCAATACATTATACTCTTTGATGAGTGTAACTAGCATCACACACAACAAAAATCTACATCATAGTCTCCAAGGTCACACTCCCACAACCAGAAGTGTGCTTTACTAATCTCCTCGGTATCTCTCAAGCCAATAAAGTGTACATTCAAGATTGACACTTAAAAGATGAAGCCTAAAGTATCCTAAGCATATAACAAAGCACGTGTCTCAGGCATTCTTTTTGGGGGGTACTGGGAATCAAATTCAGGTCCTTGGGCTCACAAGGCAGGCAGCAGAATCACTGAGCTAAGTCCCCAGGCCTGTCTCAGCCATTCTAATTGAAAATACTATAGAAGTTAGAGCTCTTTGTTTGTTCTTTAAAGTAAAAATGCACTTCTTTAAATGCATATTCTAAGGCTTTTTGAGAATACAGATAATACAGAAATATTTAAATTTCTTACTCTTCTGACATGAAATAACTCAGGGCTACGAAACGACAAAATTCATAGTACAGATTAACAAAAAAGTTAATGAGTTGTGACTAAAGCATGGGTTCATCTCTTTAAATTCAATCTTCTGCTTTGGGTTTGGGGGCACATTTCTTTCCAAACCTGTGTAAGTTACCTTGGCTCTCATGTGGAATGAAGAGCTTTCTTCTGACCCTTGGGTATCCATATATTATACACTCAGACTCCCCCGGTTAAGGAAAGAACATTTTTTTAAAGTCTTGGATCCACACTTGCAACATTAAATCTCAAGACAGAATCCACGTGGCTCTTTGCCTCTACCTTCTGCAAGATCTCTCTCAGCATCAGGTTCTACCAGCATCCTCACCATGCACATCTGTGTCACACACATACACACAAATGCACACAAATGCACACACGTCCTCATCTTACAGCAGTGCAATGGACACTTCATAGGTTTCTCTAGGCTTTTAACCTAAGGCAATTGAATGGACAATTTGAAAATTTCCTGTATTTTTTTCTTTTATTGAGGCAAAATTTATGTATAGAGAATGCACAACTCTAAGGTATAAATTTTGATAAGTTTTGATGACTGCAACCAACATCATCCAATTAAAACATTTGCATCACCTTGGAAAGTTACTTTATGCCTTGATTAAAAACAAAGAGCATTTAATATTAATCACCACAAAACAATTTGAAGTACCCGGAATTCCTACAGTTCATTTCCGAAAGAAATTTGTGCAATCTTCTAAAATTTGATACTATACCACAAGTGCACATTTTTCGCAACAGTAGTAGCAGTAATAATAATAGTAATAATAATAAATTTGGCAAGGTGTGGTGGTAATTTTCTGAATTTGGTGATGTTCATGGCATTGTCAACTTTTAGAAATTTGTATTTGAGATTACAAAAAGAAAAATCCATAATCTGGGCTTTTCTATGACCTTCAGAAAACAGTATTAAATGTATGGTAGGATTTCATCTTCCTTTCTAGTCCTCATTTTGACCTCTGTACTTAACATCTTGCCTGCTGCAAGGTTTTTCTTCCCACACAGGGATCTTGGGTGGGGTTGTGGAGGAATATGGTACTGGACAAATAAGCACCAGTCCATGCCTCTTACAGGGGCTGCTCTTGCTCAGCTGGTCTTCTTGCCTCCTCCTTTCTTTCCCCAAGGTGAATGCTTATGTATAGCAACCTGAGCTGGATTCCTGGGGACCATCCCAGTTTCTTAGCTAATAAGCTCACATAACTCTAGGTTGACTTTTCCACCCATATGAACTTACGTCTGGGTTTATAAATTACTGGCTAATTCCCCAGTTTAAAGCCACCAGGATACCCACTCATTCTTACTGTGCTCATTCTTACCCCAAGAATCTATTCTTTGCCCCAAATCATCAGACCTCATGATCAAGGAAGCTGGAGTTTACTGGGAATAGGCTCTGTAAGGTATTAGAGAGGTAAAGGGAGGATCCATATGAGGACCATGCCAGGTAACCGGGTGCCTGGCCGCCTATATACTTGCCCTTGCTGCTTGTTGGACAGGGAGAGCAAGGGCTGAGATCATTTTCCCGGAAGTCGGAAAGCATTTGTATCCATGTGTCCACTCTCTCTGGTTTCTCTGGTAGATGCTGGAGGGCTGACTTTGACAAGATCAGAGCAAGGAAAAGTAGGTGACTCCCGGGGTCTTGCTGCGTCCTTGCTAGGCTCCTGTTCAGTGGACAGACAGCAGTTAAGCTCACCAGGCAACTCAGGCTGACCTGGAGGACTGGCTCCTCAGGCCACCAGGAAACCTGATCCCTACCCCCAGCTCTAAACTTGGCCTGGGCCACGTTTATCACTTCCCTTTGGACATCCACCGGTCACGTGATCAAGACCCCAGAAACGCAGGACCCCACGCGCAGCTGCTCCCTCGTGTTCACCTCCCCAGGCGCCCTTTACCTGGACCAGACCTTGACGGTGGAATGGGCTGGTTTTAAGGTCTCCCTCACCCAGAGGAGGGCGCCTTTCCAGCCCTTGCCTCTGGCTGGGATCCAACCGGAAAGGAGAAAAAGGGCACAGGTCAGAGGCAATGCCCAAGGAAAATGTGGTCGTTGAGTGACCTGTGGCGGCGGGACGGTCCCGAGGCCAGGCCGCGGGAAGAACCAGGGCGCGCGTCCTTCCGGGAGGAAGCCCCCTTAAGGGGCAGTGCGCCTTTCACAGTGAGACAGGGCCCCGGGCAAGGACTCCGCGGGTGGCAGCTCGTCGCCGGGACGTCCCCTCCGGCGAGGATCTTCGCACGCACCCTCCCAGCGCCTTCCTGAGAGGAAACGCCTGCAAAGGCGCCGCTCACTTTCCTCCGGGCGGGAAGGCGGCTGGGGAAGAAGACAAAGCAACATGCAGTTTTCTGTAGCCTGGCCGAGCTGGACGCTCCGCAGGCTCTGGAGGCCCAGAGGTTCCCGGGTGCCGCCCCCTGCC